TACCAGATGATCAGGTAAATTATCCCGAATGTAGTTTGTTATTGTTTTGCGAACCACACCACCTTCACTACGATCACCTGAGTACACTGGGTCAACAAGGTGTCGGTTTTGATCTTCATTTTTTTTATACAAATCCATTTGGCATTTAAGAAGATCTTCATCAACATAAGATTTGTTAATTTCGCAATAATTGTGCAAGACACAACATGCATATACAACAACTGGAATTGATTCAATCTTTAAGTCAACTTTTTTTGTAAGAACTGACCACCTTGCTTTCAGTCGACCAAAAGCACATTCTATTGGATTCCTAGCTGCTCTTAGAAGAGTATTAAAAATTACTTCTTCATTTGAAGCACATGTGGCATATTCCTTCATGCAGAATGGAGTCAATGGGTATGCAGGGTCCCCAATTACATAGTTTGGTATTTTTTCTGAGCCTGGGAAAACAGACAGTTGTATCATTGGAATTTGGCCAGAAACTAATTTCTGATTAATAGAGGAATTTGCAAAAACTTTTGCATCATGCACACTTCCTGGCCACCTGCATTCAACATCCATAAATATGCCTCTATAATCACACACAGCCTGTACATTTAATGAATAGAACATTTTGTAGCAAAAGTAATCTTGTGGATCCTTTAGTGGTCGAAGGATAGGAACATGTGTTCCATCTATGCATCCAAAGGCCTGTACAATGCCAAATTTTGTCTCGAACTCACAGACCTTTTTCCTCATTTCATTCTCATCTACAGGTAAGTGCAAATACTTCGGCCCAGGTACTTTTGAAATCACATTGGAAACCTCAACTACAACACCAGAAACTGTACAGACAGCTATACCGAAAGCATTTGCTGTCATAATGAGGGAGCCAGTGTCTTTCAAATAGTACAATGTAACAGCCAGTTTCTTTGCACTATCTAGTGCTCTGTGGTTAGGTGAACTGGGATCGGGTGAAATGTAAGGTTTAAGCTCAGTCTCAAGTTCTAGAAACGATTCTTTGGTCATGCGGAAATTCTTCATCCAGAATTCATCAGGTGCTTCGCCATTTATCATCTTTATCCACCATTGATCTGATCTGCCAGGTTTAAACCAACAACTTCTATTACGTCGTCTTAACCTTCGTTGCCTTAGTACCTTTAGCTTTCTCAAGAAATAACTGCGCCGATTTTGAAGCGCTATCAACATCGTATTCTTCTTTTGTTTCTCGTGAATTTTCCACAAGAGAATAAGGCCATATAGTTGCAAAAGAAGGGCAGTAAAAGCTCCAATTTGGGCCGTCACTGAAGCTATTAATGCAACAATTTTGAAACCCGCCATTTTGCATTTAACTTTCCCGCGAAAATTTGTATTTGTTTTCACAAGTCAGCCCGCCCCAAAAGTTTCATGTAAACGCGTGGTGAAATTCATCTCGGGGAAGCGAGCCAGCTCGGGTACCCGGGCTGGCTCGCTTCCATATAAACAGCCCCTAAGATTGAGCTGGTTTACTTCGAGTCGCCATCTAGGCTTACATGGATCATTCCTGTGAACACAAATGTTATGTAGCAAAATGCAAGTCATGATTACTATTTGAATATTGTCCAAATGACATTCTGTCTTCTTGTATAAGATACGCCATCTCCCTTTCAGCATCCCATATGCATGCTCAGACACAACCCGAGCAGAGCAAAGCCTCCTGTTGAAGTACCTCTTTTGGGGCTCTCGCATTCCTTCTTTGTATGGTTTCAGCAACCATGGGTGGGACGGAAAGGCTGAATCGCCAACAGTTGCAAGTGGTATTTTGCCTTGGGGATGTAGGTTCAGTGAATTCTTTGGCAGCACATTACCACGTTAAATTTCAGAGTATATGTTATAATTCTGTAGAAGCCTGGAATCATGGGTTGAGCCAGGTGCACCAACTGCAGAAAACATAAACCTTTTGTTATATCCTATAAACCCCATATTTGTGACAGAGTACCGCTTCTTATAACTATAAAAAATTTTCAATGTAGTAGAAACATACACGTGAAAACCATCCCATGCTCCAACACATGGGAACTCCCAATTTTCTAGGAATCCTTTGAGTTCCTGGGTCCATTCCTCTGTTGTTCTTGGCATATAAATGAATCTGTCATACAAAGTATTCACCAACACTTTGCAAACGTCCATGAATATGCAAAAAGCAGTTGGAGCCGCAACACCAAACAAATCTCCCACTGTTAGATAGGTAACACCATGAGCCAACCGATACAAACATATTGCCAACTGAGTAGCAGGGGAAGTTGGATGGGGTTTCATTCGAGTTGGTTGTTTAACAATTTGGTCGGAAATTTCGTTCAGAATGAAATCAAATGTCGCACGAGACACTCTCAAACGCTTCTTGAATGCCACATCATCCCAGGTTCGATAGCCTTCAGACCACCAACTACTGCTCCTGTGTTCGTCACAACCCCTGTCCTTCCTCGGTTTTCTAGTTAGTAAAATAACAGATAATGCTGCGGCTTGTGCTAGTTCCATCTTGTCAGTCAATTCATCATTAAAACGGCGCTTTGCTCATGTGTCACACTCTTTTTGCCACATAAATAGTCTTTCTTCATTTGCTTTTCTTTTCCCAGATAAATGCTTCACTAATCACATTTCTGCCGCCATATTGATTTTTCTGCCAAGCATGTTCGTTCCCAACTTCCCATGCAGTTGTGATCACGCGATTCTATTTCGTCTGGCAAATTCGTCTACATAGTTCGTCTACATAGTTCGTCTTGTGTTTATACTTAGACAGATCATCCGTCAGACGGATGATTCGTCTTGACGGATGATCCGTCTCTAGTATAAATCGGGCCAATATTGCATGCTGTTTCCAAGCAGCATATCTGTTTTGTGTCAAGATTTTGTGTGTTAATATTACATGTAAATCGACTATGAAATATTCTAGCAGCATATAAACTATATTTTTATCAACATACCATAGGAGGTGAACAAAATCCGCATTAAAATCACTTCAAATATTGTTTATTTATTTAGAGCGCAGAGTGAAGGAGCAATTTGGGATGATGTACAACTGAACAAGATGATTTGGGATGATGTACAACTGATTGTACAACTGAACAAGTCACATGACAAGAGAAACAACATTATTTGCTTGATTGTATTTAAAAACAATCCATATAGAAAGAAGAAATAACCAGAATTAGTCCAGAAAATTTCTAATTTGTTATATTAATTCGTCCATTTGTTTATATTCGCATAAATTATATTATTTAATACTATTTTCCATATTTCACGCTGACAATACGTCAGACTCCGTGTTTTCCATATTTTTCTCTGACATCAGACTCTGTGTTTTCCATATTTTATGGTGGACTCTGTTTTCCATATGATTCCGTGTTTTCCATATTTTTTATGACGTCAGACTCCATGTTTTCCATATGACTCTGTGTTTTCCATATTTTTTATGACATCAGACTCCGTGTTTTCCATATGACTCCGTGTTTTCCATATTTTTATGACGTCAGACTCCGGGACTCCGACTCCGGAACTCCGACTCCGTGTTTTCCATCTAACCCATTGTAATAGTATAATGGACAGAAGTCATTTGTGTTACTTGAAAACGTGTAAAATTCCAAAAACGTCCACATTGCCTACACTTTATTTTTATGATTTTGAAACGCGTGTTGATGACAAAGGATACATGCAACCCTTCTATTGTGTTGTGCAAAAAGTTTGTAGTGCATGTGACGAGAAAGCTTTTCAGAAATCAGAGGTGGGTTTTGTTGCACACGCCACAAATAGTTGTTGCGATATTAGCGTAAAAAGTGTACCGTGTTGTGGTTATCGTCAATATTGTTTGAGCAGAACAATGGAAACATTGTTGATAGTTTATTAGATTTTATGCTTTCTCAGCCTGGAGACAGCCTTTCTCAGCCTAGTTTTTCTATTACGGGAGTTGCTTACAAAACACAATATTATTACCCAAACTTATCATGAATGGTAACAAGATAATGTGCATGGAAATTGAACAACAAACTAGAATTAAAATTATCGATAGTTATTTATTTTTAGCGATGCGTTTGAGTAAAATTCCAGAGGCAATGGGTATTCCAGATTTAGCCAAGGGTTATCACCCCTATCATTTCACCGATCTCAAATATGTGGGTCCCATGATAAGTATAGAGTATTTTGACCCACCACCAAGTGAGGGCACTAGAAATTTGACAAGTGGTATGTGGAACAACAGAAGCATACGTATGTGTTTCGCGATGCAATTTATTATTGTAGATTAGATGTTGATATTTTAAGACAGGGTTGTGTGAAATTTGCAAAACTTATCAAAAATATTATGAACGTGTCATACTATTGCCAGTCTTGCGTTAAAAATCTACCGTAATAATTTTTTAACAGAGAATACAATTGGGCAGATTCCCGCCGAAGGTTACGGTGGAAATATTAATCAAAGTGTCACAGCTTTGTGTTGGCCAGGTCAGCTCGAAATAGAACTTGAAGAGGATGGCTTTACATTCAGAAGTAAATTATCGCCCGAAGGTGAGGTGAACATTTTAAATCGCTTTGTCGACGGCTACTGTGAACAAACAAATATGTTTTGATGGCGACGATCTTAATAAAGTAAATGGTGAGAAATTTTATGTTCTATGTGAACGAACTCGTCGTACAATGCAGCTTTTTGAAGACAACGGCTATCGCGTTAATGGGAAATGGGAATTTGATTTTATGAGTGAAGGGAAAGTAACACGAAACTTGATTATGCAATTACATCATAGCAAATACTTTGTTTATTTAAATCCCAATCCACGCAACGCATTGTTGGTGGTCGAACGTCGCCTGCAAAACTATATCATGAATCTTTAATGGCAAAAGCTCATTACATAGATTTTACCTCTCTCTATCCGTATGTTCAGAAGAAATATCGTTATCGAATTAAACATCTTGAGATTACCGTGGCGTTAACAAATGTGCCGAATTGGATGTGTATAAAAATTTCGGCTTAATCAAATGTAAAATCTTACCGCCAAAAAATGTTATTTCCTGTTTTACCGGTTCATACTAGTAAATTACCGTTGTGTACCATGTGTGCCGAACAACAATGCAAACAATGTACACACGACGATGAACAACGCGCACTTTACGGAACATGGACAAGTGTAGAAGTACACAAGGCATTAGAACACGGCTATAAAATGCTTGTGATTTATGAAATCTATCATTTTCCAAATAGTAAGAAAATCTTTGATCTATACATTGATATGTTTATGAAATTAAAACAAGAAAGTAGCGGTGTGCCAAAAAATTGTCTTCAGTATAATGGCGAGATAGATGAAGTGAAACTACGTAAATACATAGATGAATATGCCGAGCATGAACAAATTTACTTGGATTGCGCCAATATAAGTCACAATCCCGGTCAGAGAACAGTTATGAAAGCATTATTAAATTCACTATGGGGTAAATTGGCACAAAACGAAGACACAACCATTGTTTCATTCATAGATTCATTAGAAGAATAATTACTAACCCTTGTCAATGATCATAGTGTAGAGGTGACGTCACATATAGAAACGGGTAAGTATTTGGGTCAAATGACGGACAAATTAAGCGAAAAAGGGTTGTAGCGAAAAATGGATAGAGCAATTCTGTGCTACGGGTCCCAAATCCTATTCGTATCGTACCAACGAATATGTTAAGACATTAAAGGATGGCAGCACGGAAACAAAATGAGATCACCCATGTTAAGGGTTTTACGTTGAAGGGGGATGCAGAGGAAAAAATAACTTTTGGTTCGATTGAATCCTGTGTATGAAATAAATAGCAAGAAATTGAAATTACATATCGTGAATTTGTGCGGTGTAACATGCAAACAATAGCCGTGGAACACAATAAGCAAAAATTCCGTTTTACTTTTGACAAACGTGTAGTATGTGACAATTTTAGCACTGTACCATACGGGTACACGTCGTAAGTTTCGTTTTTTTTTGTTTTCACAGGCAAGAGCTGTGGGACAAGCTACATTACCGTTTCATCATCCGTTCATGCTTACTATGTGTGGACCAACACAATGCGGAAAAACCAAATTGATAACAAAAATCATAAAGTATATTGATGAGGTTATTGTACCGACACCTGACAAACTACTGTACTTGTACAGTGCATAACAATCAAAATGATTTAATGATTTAATGAGATTCGGCTAATATAACGCCAGGGAGTTCGCCACAGGTTTCCCCAATTACGGCGACCCCATAATTAACTTTATGTTTACAATAACTTTAACAGTCGAAACGAACTAATTTAAGACAAAATACAATCGGTGCAAGAGACAACTAACAACAACTTAAAACACCATCAAGGGACCTAGCCTTTTACATTTAACGCACACAGAAAATACGATGACATAAAACAGATCAAACGAGACAATGCTGAAACATCAAAACTGAAAACATACGAGTTTGTCGATTGCAATCAGGGTATATCCTCTATAAGTGAATTGAAGAATATGTTAGGCGAAGCAACACTTTTAGTGTTGGATGATTTGATGGTGATTGCGGCCTCAAGTTCAAAGAACACCGAGAATTTAAATGATATAGCCTCGTGAGACAGCCACCATACAAACACTTCGGTTATCTTTGTATGTCAGAACTTAAATTTCAGAAATGGAAAATTATGAAATGCATGTGTGAACAGTCAATATCATCTGATATTCAATAATCTTTCGGATTGTAGAGATATAGAAACAGTTGCTTCAAATAAGAAAATCAAATTATGTAAAATTCATAGTATTATAAACGATGTCGGAAAGAATCGCTACGGTTATATTTTATTTGACAGTTCACCCCGTAGCTATTGTAATACATGTCTTCGTACGGGCATATTCCTGACCGACAAAACGATAATCTATGATTGTGGGCGAAATGTGTAAATTTTATTTGAGAAAAAAATAATTTTTTTACAAAAAAGTGGGTTTTTTTACAGTGGTCCATATATATCTAAGAAAGTTTTACAAATTTTCCCTTTAGCCTTACGACATGTTTTAGCATAAATTTTACGTATATCGGAATTTCTCGTTCATTGTCCATAAGATCTTCATGTAACAAATTTCGTATCACTTTATGTTCACTTCATTGTTTGTATAAGAAGAGTAAACACCAGGCTCCACACGTTCGACTGATGTGTGATTGACGTTGTACTTGAGAGTACATTGTAGTTTTACATCCCAATTGCTTAAAATAATTCACCCAATAATCACGTTTAAAAAAGTAGGTGTTTTACCGTAACTATCAAAGAATATGATACGTTTGTCTCTTTTTACCATGCCCACCCAATGTGAACCCGATTTATGAGATTCATCCACATTCCATATCCAACAACAATGTTTACGAACATTGCTAGGAGGAACATCTGCTGGGTAACAGCCCAGATAATAGGGAGTAATGACATCATTTTTTCCTGCCAAATTATCCAAATGATGAGTGCCCAAAAATTTACTGATAAAACAAGTTAATATATTCATTGCAACAGAACGTCTAATTGACGATCTCTAAAGAACGACGATTTAAACGATCTGCATAGCCCCACCGATCACGTCTTTGTACAATTTGCGGTAGACTTCAGGAAGTTTGATGACTACGTGGAGTATTATAGGGTGTTGAACGTACGGGAATTCGTGACGTTTGTGGGATTGTGACAACACTTTCACTACCACTACTGCTGTTACCGGCTTGTCTCATTGCGGTGTAAGCATTTCGCAATCGTGCACTACGAATATGTGAGGTAGACATACCCAGTTTTTTCAGAGTTTTTAAACCCATATGTGTTTCTCTTTCGGTTAAACTCGGCGCTGTCTTTTTTAAATCATGTGTAAGATAAAAAATGAAATCATCATAGGGCACAGCTATTTTACTTCCCTTGTATTCTAACCCACCCGAATCACTTTTTTTGCACCTTTCTCTTTAAAAAAAAAGCTTCTATTTTAGCTTTTGAGCCTTCCACAGATGCTTCGGGACGTAATTGTCATCTAGGTGTACCTGCACAACCAGCGGGTGTGTTGGGGTTGTTGGGCTTATCGCTGTCGGGAGGTTTAGGAAGATGTGCTTGTGTTGCAATAGTCTCTTTTAGTTTTCCTTTTTTATTCATAAAATTCACAATGTCTGTTCCAGCTAATGGACTTTTATTTTTTACACTTTGCATTACATCATGATAACTTCTTACATAATCTTGTTCTTCACGCGACGTTGTCGCTTGCTCTACAATATTTTTATGTTCTACGGATTGTTGCAACGCTGCAATAAGACGATTAAAACGTTTGGAGTCAACAAGTTGTAGTTGTTTTACTGCTTCGCTCATTCTTTTCAATAAGATCAATTATGTCTTTTAGAATAGCATGTGTGCGAAAATCCTCTACTAATGCTACAGCCATGTCCTCTTGTGGTGTATGTTTGTCGAGCAAATGTCGCATGAAACGTTTGTTGTCTACTGATATATCAATCGGAAGTTTTCCCTTCACAACAAAATCAAGCAAATGAAGTAGATTTTTTGTGACAGTCTTAGTAAGATGTCGTGATCTATCGTTCATATTCATTTGAACGAATTTTTTTTTCTTCTTTTTTCATTTGTTGTTGTTGTTGTTCAGCCATATTTTGATATTACAGGATGGATGTGAACTGTTTGTATGGATTGACCATACAAACTGATAACTTTACCGTCGGATGGTCGTAAAAGTGTATTCGATTTTTTTTCTTGTCCATTTTAGTACAACACTGCCATGTTTGCTTTGCCGGCATAATGACTAATGGTACTCAATATTTTTATGAGAGATTAATAAATAAAGTTTAGAAATCATACATCTTATGTGCGGCAGTTTTGTAACCAATCAACAATTGATTACGGAATTCTCCAATGAAAATCACCTGTTGTGCAGCAGCCAGAGCTTGTGTATGTTTCATTTCAACACTCACCACAGCCGCAGTTGAATACGGTAACATCTGATTGTAACTGTCTTTGTTTGTAGACAAATCCATCACAATCAAACCATAACTATCTTCGTAATGCTCAAAACCAAATGGCATCTCACTGTGACGACAATTCAAAACGCGTACCAAATTCATATACGACTCTCTGGTATTGGTGATCGTAGGTACAACATTAGCTTTGTTGATTTTCACCACAAAATGATTAATTCCGGGGAAAATCAATTGGTTGGTATTGTGCTGACTACCATTGTAACGCGTTTGCGATTTCTGATAACAAATCAAGTGTGTGGGTCGAGCCCCGTTGAATATATCACTAAATTGTACATACTGCGAACCAATAGCCAACGGTTTTGCCACCAGTCGATAATGCGTGGTATAGAATTTACATTCTTCACCTTTGTGAATCATTATCTCATTGATCGCCTCGGACAATTGCTGCAAGGGTTTCATCATGGGTATGGTTAATTTCAAATCTTTAATTAACAACTTGGCACCCTCACAATGTTGTCGTGTACCAAAAAGCATTTTGGTTTTCTCCAAACGATGAAGTACTACTTTCATTTCATAGGTTGATGGAACATAATGTTTATTATGCCCCAATAAATCCAAATGATCCATACATAGTACTTCAGCACTCTGACTAAATGCTACCCAACGTTTACGTGCACCCTTATTGACAAGACCAGCATCATGTATATTGACACGGCTGTCAAAATGACCAGGGGTGTCGTGGTATACCATGGTGATGCCATTCTTATCTTGATAGCCTGACGGTGTTTGTGTGAGAAGATGATTTACATATTCTAATTAATTTTCATGTGTGGTAGTGGGATTGACGAGGTCATTATTCACATACACTTCTTTGGTTTTCCACCCAATTTAAGGGGAAATGCTATAGGAACAATCTGATCGGCAGCCAAACCCGCACCATCTGCAGCAGCAACAAGGTGTAATGTTGCCGAGATGGTGGCATCTTCTGTTATCAACACACCGTATTCTTGTCGATTATGCATGCATGTGTACGTATGTCTGCCTCATTGTTCACGGGTGTGGCATTGATATTTAATTCTCGTAATTCTTCAAACGTAATATTATGAGGAAATGTGGGGAACATAGCCATAGGTGTCATAAAACTACCATTGTGCTTTTCTACAGGCTCTTCCCCCACCCCTTCCCCATCCATCTCTGTACATTTACGTTTACTCATCTTGAAAGAACGACGAATGAATAACCCAATAAAATGTGTGTAAACATTTTTATAAGCGAAAGAGAAATACACAAACCAAGTAAATTTCATATTTATTTATTTCATACTAGATTTTACATCGATTTATTTATTTACATTTACTTTTAGTATTTTACCTACAGTTCCCATGATCATGGGTGCCATCATACCCAAAGCTATTCTGGCACCGAAGGCACCGCCTTTCTGTTTGCGACGCGATCGTAATCTCGGAAAATACTTGCTCATAAGGCGTACGCTAGATCTTGGTTTTCTTTTTTTTTTCTTTTTATGTTAACATATGTTTCTCAAAACAACCGTATTGTGGGTCGTTTTTTGCTATTACACCAGGTGTGTACAGAAAAGAACTACTCATGTCATAAAATTCACCACCCTTTACTTTATTAGTAACACTAACATAATTTCCATTAAGCGTTAATTTTCTACTACAGTATAATGTGAAGTTTGTGTAACCCGAGGTAAAGTTAGTCCAAATATGATCCAGGTTGAAGTATCGTTTTTTCATTTGTAAACCGCTTTCTCTAAAAGTTAGCTTCTCACGCATGATATAGTCATATTTTGTAGGAACCAATTCTTTATTTTGCACTGTTATCTGTACTCGCAACTTATTCATTTTCTTCTACATCGAAAATATTAAAATGTACTATAGCTGTTTTACCTTTCTGACCTCTAAATCTTGTTGTGTTATCGCACCAAATCAATTGTAAGTGAACTAAATCACGTAAATCACTGATATCTTTTTGTAGTATAAATGACGATAATTTTCTTTTTTTTCTATCATAAAATCTTTCGGGATTGTGCTGGTCAAGGTATGCGAACATACACTTCTCAAAACAACCATATTGTGGGTCATTTTTTGATATTGTACCAGGAACGTACAAAGCAGCAATGTCGTAAAAATTCACCACCCTTTACTTTATTAGTAACACCAACATCGTTTTCATTAAGTTTTAATTTTCTACTGCAGCATAATGTGCAACAATCCCATTGACCGGAAAAGTCACACGTAAAGTAACTTAGGCTGCAGTATCGTTTTTTCAACTGTAAACCGCTTTCCCTAAAAATCTCATCCATGGAATAGTCATACTGTGTAGGAATAAGTTCTTTATTTTGTATTATAAACTCTAGTTTCAACATTATTCTATTACAGCTTCGATGGTAATAGTACCAGCAGAAAAGGGAATTGGCGTGAAATTTGTATCGTATATGCCTATATGTAAATCTGTAATTTTACATTTAATTAACCCTCATGTTACTTCTGGTGGTCTATAATTACACAATGATGAACTTCCTTGATCCTCTGTTACAATGGGTATACATTGCTTTAACATTACCCACAACAGAATGTTCCACCTCGTCACAATAAACAAACATCTCTTTTACACCATTACTTATATCGGGCATATATTTCCCGTGGAATGTATAGTGTTCAGGTTGAAGTCCAGACGTGGACAAGATGCATTGCATTGTGGATAGAGATGGATCTACTTGTGTTAATTGCTTTTTAATCGTTTCGACTGTGGGATGAAGAACCCATTCTGTTAAACCCAACATATATTTCAAACTCTTGGTCATTTCAATGTCCATCGTGTCCTTTGCTATATGTAAATCTTTCTCCGTTAATTCGCCTGGGTATGTTACACCGTCACCATTTGTTGAAAACTTGTATATATATCTTAATGTTGGATTAAATTTTACCCCAACACGACCTCCCTTTAATATCACAAATGAAAACATCGTATTCATTCATGTATTCATTCAGGGTGTCGATTATTTTTTCAAGAGTATAGTGACCGGCGGGTAAATACATCATATTTGATCGATATTTCCAACTTAATGAATTGTAGAGAAAATTGTATTTAAAACGTATACCGAATTGGTTCTCAAAAACATTCTCAATCATTTGTGGATAACTAATGCTTAGGACCATAGATATCTTATATACACTAGATAATGCATCTCTTTTAGTAAAATTGAAGCCAAGAATATTCCAGTGGTTACCCCCATTTGAATAGATGGCGGCCATGTTGGTCGTTCCCACTTGCCAATAAACGCTTAAAAACAACAATAACTTTCATCATTTGAATAGTTTAAAAATGTATTTGGAATAGGGTTAACTTAATGTTTAAGTTCCCTGTTTAAGAAATAGAAAACATACGAATCTTCTCATTTCATGGGAACGACATGAGACTGCAATCACGGCTTCAATTTTTGAATTGCAGAATAATTAGATGCACTATCTAGTGTATATAAGATATCTATGCTTAGGACACATATGTATTTACGTTCGTTCTCAGCATCAATCAATTCAGGAAGCAGCATCGTAAAGCTATTGTTGAAATTTTCACCGCCCACATTATTACGTGTGTTGCTTACAATGTGAATATCCATATCTTTTATATCATAAAAAATTCCCTGTTCCTTTGAACCTTTCGCGTCATGCAGTTCGTATGTTACTGGATCGGTGGTAATGAACACTTTGCTTATTTTAAATTTCTCACCAACCCAACGTTGCAAACTGGATTTTTCAAACACGTTATTCTTGATACGCGATAGACAAACTGTATCGCCAACATGTAACAGATTGCGTGTGGGTTTCGAACCCGTTTAGCATGCTTTTTAATAATCGAAATTCATTCATGGGTTTTCGCTTTACATCAATGTTGTGCGGTGTAGCATCGAACAAACCTCGATGCGGTGATTCATTGTAACGTTCTATGATCAAAGGTAGAAAACGAATGTAGCGAAAACCTAACTCGAGCATTGTCAATGTATGCTTAACCATTTGTTTTAATGTTTGAGTGAAACGTTCCGCATGCACTACTTTCATTTCTAGATTGTACGTATGAAATACTTTAAAACCGTATTGCGGAGCAAGTTTACGTTTGATCAATGAAAATTCTGTGCCCTCGTCACTTTGTACTTTTTGTGGAACTCCATGTTCTAAGAGAAGTTCCTCGAATTTTTTCCGTACATTCGCTGCGGATTTTGTTTTCAATAACTTTACAAATGTGTACCGAGAATAAACATCAATACACACAAGCATATAACGATATTGATTATTGTAACGTGATAAATCATTTAGATCTGTTAAATCAATACTCCATTGTGTATTACATTTATTCACATGTGTTTTTAAACGTTTATATCTATGCAATTTTCTAGAGTGTAAACAATACGGTTTGTTCCTTAGTTAGTTGTTCACCTTTTAAGAGGCGCGAGGCTTTTTTAATAAGTTCATCAGTTAGTTCTTTTGCATCTTTTCTTTTTCTTCCATACATCTAACAGTCACTAAAATACAACGAATAGACAGTTGAGTTAATGTTCTTTTAATATGCTGTTCACATGATCGTAATCTTCATTATCACACTCGAGCAAATAATGCATTCTTTGGTACATGTTTTGAACCATCAGTTTTTGCTGTTTAATTGCTCTGGACAATTCGGGACACTAGAAAAAGAGTACAACTTTATTCATCATTCCACTCGACAAATGTCACATTTTTTTGTGGTTGATTATACTATTGTCGCTTTATCATTTTTAAACTTGATTATTTTATTATGTCTGCTATTCTACTAAAGGACCATAGTTAAACGGTGTAAGAGAGTGCATTTGTTGCTCATATAAAGCTATACAACGAGCAGCTGAAACACAATATCGATTCATAAACGCAGTTAATGTTGCTATAGCTTTAGGAAATTGTGCATGTTTATATACCTGATGATCACTGAACTGTCTCAATATTCTCCAGTTTTCTGTGTTTCATTGTCGGCTTCTTTCCTTTGCTCTTGGTTTCTGAGGGAGGTGGTTTCTGCATTGCAGGTGTTGCTGATGCTGCTGGGGGTTGTGGTAGTGGTGCTGTCAGAGTTGCTGGTGGTACAGAGGACGCTTTGTCCACAGCAAGAAGATGCTCCACATCACTGTGAAATGCAAGCAAAAAAATGTGACGAATAGCCCATTCGACTTCCCGTGCAATACTCGTAATTTTATCTAAATAAGAATACTTTTTATTCATGTCTGAAAATTCTAAACACCCACGGAATTTGCATATCAAATAACCAACCGCCAATGTCCATAGTCGAGTATGCATGGATTTTAAACACCAATCATTGGACTGCACGATATAATACATAACATTGGTTAAATCACGATTGTCAGGTTCAAAAAGATATCGATGCGCTCAAGGATAATTTTCTCTGTAATGTACTCATCTATTTTATTTTCAAATGTTTCTCGTATCGTTTCATTCGTAAACGTATGAAACCCATACCATTTATCCGTATGATATGCCATAGTTCTTACTAAAGAAAAAAATGTACAAATACTACATATATAGGCTCGTCACACGCTATCTACAATGGTTAATAGTCAATCCTTCACTATCCATTAAAGTTGTATCCAAAGAATGAAAAAATATGATCAATTCAAACACACTAGGATCAAGATACACACCTAAACGTAGAAAATGTCTTGTAATCACAGATTTTGTTTCATGATACAGTCTATGTTTTAACTTGGTACAATAATATCGTAAGTAGACCATAAGTTCACGATACTCACATTGCGTTACAACGGTAGTTGCATAAAGAAAACGTTTCAACCCACGTTGTACTTTGACCACATGTAAATGCATTTCAATAAAAAATTCAGAACAATGCGTGAAAACAGAAAGTACAAAATCATCATCGTCAGTACGACGTACACTCCAGATACATCTACACAGATAAAATTTACCGTCGTATACAACCGTAAATTCGACATCTATTTTCATGATACGGCGGTGGAATATACATATACATACGTTTAATCATTTTTTTATTAAATAGTCAAACTCAACTTCTGAACATTGCTTTATCAACACATTACTATACTCATACTTAAGTAAATATAATGTAAATGTACACACCTGTCACAAATAATATAGCTTCCCTTACAAAATTCAGTGTCATATTACAGCATGACTGGAGAAAAAAATTTAAAAATCTACTTTCATCGTTAGTTTTATAATTAATAATTAAAGTATTACCCCTTTTCATTACAATCACCTTATAATAAATAGAAGACGTATTATCGTGTGAGTATACAAAAAAACAATGCAATGCATTTAAAACATCACTACAATGAAATCCTACATATTGTTTCACCGTCAGTAATTGTCCTCGACACAACATCACAGGTTTTCTATTCAGCGTCACAATATGCAATTTTGTAGAGTTCAAGAACGTCACCATTCTCGTTCACTTTGATCATACGATAGGGTGAGAAAAAAAACGTGTACCAGATATCCCAATCAATGATATGTGTCAGGAATGTAAGCAATATATAATGACCAATTTCTCTTTCTCGATTATAGATATATTCTTGGTTCACAAAGAAACAACAAAAATTAATAAACAAGCATAAAAATTACTCAACTTTCGATGTCACTTCGTCTTCATCGGCCATAGTAAAAAGTCCAACATCTCTAAAATAATTTGGTGAAGCTAACTTAACTTGATTATATAGGTATAATCTGGAAAAATGTGAATTCGGAATTTCAATTCACCATCATACATTAAAAGAAATATAAAACTATCATCCTCACGATGAAATATTAATTTCTCAAATAGAAAAGTACACTTATATAAGTGCGCGTACGATAACACTGTGGTTTCCATTTTGTTCCAGTCTCTTTTATTATGTCACATGTCACATGATTATATAATATATCGATGAAAAAAATTTTCTAATCATTTTTATATATATTTAAATGCTTTCACAAATTATTTTACATTCTTACAATCATGGGTAAACAGAAAGGTGGAAGTTTCAAAGGGAAAAATATCAACGATCAAAAAAACAAGCCGGGGGTCATTTACTTGGACTTGCATTATTAGGAAATTTGTTTCGACCCCAAGAACAACAACAAAGACGTGCACCCCCCGCAGAAGACGATGACCACCACCAGAATATTATTATTACGATGAACCACCAAGAATGTTGAGAAAAAGGCCGGGGGTGCGAAAACGTCAACAAGGTGGGTTTCTAACAGATGCTGTTAATACGGGATTCTTAGATCATTAGACAGATTTAGATCGAGGACGTCGACGTGAAGAGGACGCGGGATGGCGTCATATGCCGCGAAAATGTGGCGTTGTCATCGATGGCGACGTCGTCTTAGCACTTTTCAGGACGTCAAAATCAATTTTTCACGTCGTGTTTAGGACGTCAGTTTTTTCTTGATTTTTTAAAGACGAAAAAGGTATGTACATGATAAAACTTGCATCAGTGATGTTGGTAATCTATTATTTTTCTCTATTTTCGAAATAATATGAACGTATGATGTTTAATATGCGCATAATTAACATAGTAAGACGCACCAAATTTGTTTCCGGCTTTACGGAATATGGCTGATCATGTCTCAAAACAAACACAACAAGAAACAACATATTGTGTAGTTTGATGCCAATAAGAACGACATTACTTATCTAACTTTTAAACTTGCATTTTATTATTTGATATATCGTTTTATGGGCAATCGTTTTATAGTTGATATTCAATCGATTTTATTTACTTTTTATTTTGTAATTTGTATTGCTGTATTTATAAAGTACAATATTGAAAGTATATACTGTAGTAATAAAATAGTGCAATGTTTTTTGTTATCTTTTTAGGGGCAGCGATGTCTGTTTTACAACTGGAAGAGAACAAGAAATCTCCGAAGAAAAGGTAAACAAATCAAACTAACTTCAACAATGGTAGAGTATTAAACACTTGAATGAATGATGACTTCACTTGGTGTGTAGAACTAGTATGGTGTGTTGGGTTTATAATCCAAGTGAGTACATTCGCAATTTAAGACCTGACCAGGAACAATTGCAGAAAATGCAACACTAGGTTCTCTGGTATTAAAAAATCGAATCCATAGCCTTGTGATTCCAGAAAAATTGATATTGTTTGTTTACATTTATATTCACTGTTTCTAGCATGGTATGGTCAAAGGCAAAAGATCTAATCCTACTGAAAGAAATTGCAGCAGAAGGTGTTATGTCAAATAAACCCCGGTCCAGAGAGCGTGGTATGCAGTGGCAAAGAATTGCCGATAACATCACTGCACTAGGGCAAGGAGTCACATCACGGGCAGTCAGAGATCACTACAATGTGATGGCAAAAAAGTATAGGGCAAGAATGGCACAAGAAGAAAGATCAACGGGTGAAGGTGGTGCTGAACTGACAGAGGCTGAAAGTTTGTTGGAGGAATTGATCCATATTGAAGGGGAGATGGAAAGACAGGTTGAAAATGAAAATGAAGAAAACCAACAAAGGATTGAACAAGAGCGAGGTCAGGCACTGGAGATGAGAGAACGGGCAATGGAGACACTTGGACAAACTAGGAAGAGGACAAGACAGAACGGTGAAGGTAGTGGAAAAGAACAAAAGAGGAGAAGGTCAGGAGACATGATGAAATGGTTGCAAGAAAGGGTAGAGTTGGAGAAAGAAGAAAAAAAGGCAAAACGGGAAGAAGAAAGAGAATACCATGAAGTTCAGAGAGTCCAGCAAGAAGAGATGACGCAAGCCATGCACCAGACACAACAATAGTTTGCGATGCAGATGAAGCTGTCTGACCAGTTCGTGCAGCAACAATTGCAGCAACAACAACAACAACAACATCAACAGCATCAACAAGAATTTAACTTTCTACAGCAGCAAATGATTGCTATCATGCAACAACAGCAACAGCAAACAAATGTGTTGGTAAATTTGTTGGAGAAAAAATTATAGTTATTAGACATTGTAAGTAATTTTCACATTTACAGTTAATGCTGAAACATTATAACAACTATTTATAACTTTAAACTGGACTTTATACTATTATTTGAATAGTTAACAATGTTCATCAATTAATATATTTCTTATAAAATTATTGTTTCTATAGCAGTTGAATAACCTGATTAAGTTGTGTGTAAAATACAACATTAAATATGTGTTTTATTAAAACAGAATGTTTTTGGTGATTCAATTTTAAGGTGCCAAGGTTACCAAGAATTTTCGAAACAAATTGATACTTGAGTCTTGACCATTAAGCTGCATAACTCTCCAATCAACAATTAAATCATCTGGCATTAGACTTGCGGCAAAGCTAGGCATTAGGGTATTCCAATTATTATCCGCACCCCCTGTTGAGGAACCCCTTTCTCATGCCGGTACTCCCCTGGAATTTCTGCAAATTTTCATGTAAAATTTACCCCTCCCTCTGGAAATTTCATGTGAAAATTACTCCTCCCCTTGGAATTCCAGAGCCTGAATGCCCCTTCCCTGGAAATTCCAGGGTTAATGTACCCCCTCCCATGGAAATTTAAAGTTAATGCACCTCTCCCCTTGAAATTCCAAGGTTAATGCACCCTCTCCCCTGGAAATTCCAAGGTTAATGCATCCCCTCCCCTGGAAATTCCAAGGTTCCTCAACAAGGGGGATGCGGATAATAATTGGAATAGCCCATTGCAATTTGACCTGCTATACTACCATGCAAATTTATTTCCTGCAATAATTTATTCAAGGTAGCTCATGGCATTTTTTTAAAATTCACAACTAAGACTAAGTGAATGTGTATTACCAGAAATATTCATGGATTGAAGGAGGCTTCAGATAAAAAAAATGAGATACAATGTTCTCATACAAGCAGGTATGAGCATTCTGCAACAATGCTGCCACAGTGTAGATTTTTCCAACAGGACTCAGATGCAATTTCATTTGCCTTTTAAAGTCCACAAAGCTGAAATACTTAGTAATATTTCCAAACATCCACTCGACAGAGACTCGAACCCGGCTCATCTCCCTGTTGAACTCTGCCATTGCCGGTGTAAGCTCTCTTTCCCTGAATGGTGCTTGCAAATGAACACCCAGTGGATAAGCAGGATCACCATATATGGAAAGGGGGTTGTTGTTGTAGAAGGCAATCTGTTGTAGGTTTGTTAAGAGACCAGATTCTTGGAGCATCATACTGTCATGTCGTTTACCTTCATAGGGACCAGCAAGGTTTCCAATGAGACCATTAGGTAGAACAACACTTTGAAACTTAATTGAATGGACTCTTTTATGACCATTACACATAACTCTTTGGTGATACTTTGGCCGCGGAATTTGTCGAACAGTACCATCAACAAACCCAAAGCAGTTATCCAGTGGGGCACCCTTGTTGTGAATGGCATCAGCATAAATTTGAAGGATTTGTGGTGACAAAAATGGCTGATTCCAACTTTGAAGGCGATGGTGATGTCGCTCATACAAAAAATCCAACACTTCATTAAAAATCAAACATAGCTCTGAAGGATTTCTACCAAATCTGCTCACCATATCCGAGTATCTACATGGGTATGCAAATCGTTTCAACAAAATACAGAGTGCTTTGTCTCCTGAACATGTTGTCCCTTGTTGACAGGTGATTTTATCTGGAACTCCTAATACAGCTTTTAACACAGGCAGATCTCCCTTGGCAAACCGTAATTCAGTTCTGCATTCTTCATCATCCCAAGTATCCATATTAAATTCATCAAATTTCCAATATGGGAACAATGGTTTTGACCAGTTGTAATCGAAAAGTAAAATGAACTCGGCATCAGAAATATACTGGCCTGCTCGAGCAAGAATTATAGCATCACGAACAGATTGTAAACCATGCGACATTTTAGATTTTTTTGCCACAATGAATTGAACCTATGTACTTTTGGGCTAGCTAAAATCTCTACAAAAAATACTACAACTAATATCACGCCAGCAACACGACATTTAACGTCTAAAATTTATATTTAAAAAAATAGTATAAAAGTTTTAAAGGAAATATTAAAAGAACATCAACTAATCATCTGGCAAGCGTCCTGCACAAAGTCTTCGTATGAGACGTGTAAATAAATACAATCATTACAATGTAAACATTACATATTATTTCGGTCCAAATCTCTTTGCAGTTTAAGCTTTTCTTTTATATTCACTTCTAGATAGTCTTCATCTTTCAGTGGGCTCACAAAAGTTTTATAAAGCAGGGTATTTCAACGCAAAGATGTATTTTTCCAAAAGAAAATTCTACAATCCTTCATGGCGTCGTAAAAAATTCATCTAAGTCTGTTTTTAAATTATACAGGACGACGTCCTAGACCCAGGCTTTGCACGACAATTTGACGTCCTCTTCACGTCGACGTCCTCTATCTAAATCTGTCTATTATGGAGAGTACGATCACACACACACAATAAAAAAACAAAAACAACGAAAAAACAAAAAGGTGGTTTGTTCTGGCTAGATGGTCCTTCGGTGTTTACAACAAAGAAATAAATTTTTTTCTTGACGGTCAGACGGTATTACAACAAAACATCTTTTTATTTCAGGTAGTTTTTTTACTAAACTTCTCACAAACGCAACCATCAGTATACGTCGCCTTCAGGGAGACAGTAGCCCTAAATAAGAATGTGCTTTCAAAAAATATATGGACAATCGACATAAAAGCATGTGGGGAAAATCTATGTATAAATAAATAATTAAAAATATTTCTTCAACAGGAGGGATTGTAAAAGGAGAATCGATGATTTTTTTGTTTTTAAGCACTCGATCATGCATTTTCAAAAAAACAACGTGGGGTCTTGTATACGATTGGGATAATTGGCATATTAACGATTTTAGAAATATTGGGTTGAAAAGCCAATGAGGTGGACTTTTTGGTGGAACCTGGAAATATTTGGTTTAATAGACATAAAAAAATATGGAAAACCTTGTATAAGTAAACTTTCAACACCAGTCGTCGTCACCGAAACCCCCCCACCCCCCGACAAAAACGCAAACTCCCCACAAGCCAAGTCATTAAATTTGTGCCCGGTAGCAAACCCCCAACCGACAGTGAAAAAAAATACTACTGCTCCAGCAGAATGCGAGTGCAAGATAAAAAATGCTGTGACGAATGCAAACCCGTTACACACAAAGATGCAAGTTCAGAACCCTGGACATTACTTTGATGAGCAACTCAAAGCATTAGATGATAGACTCGATCGAGCATTGCATAGTCGAGAAGCATGTAGAGCATTTGAGATACTTAAATCAAAAATGGAATCAGACTATGGAAGAGAGGAGAGACGCAGACGTAGAAATAGAGAAAATATGATTTTTTTGACACACGAGACAATCTTGTGTCACCTGAAACGATACGTAATAAATACAAACAAATATTTAACTCTATAGAGTATAGAACAGCTGTGCATTCTTTATTAGGAAAAAAAATAGTATCGGTACACTTGTTGCCTCACCTGCAATGTACACAAGTCATTTTATGCCAATGTTCGTGTTTAGCAACATCACAGGGTTGATTCTTGGGATTTCATACACTCCATCTCATGATGCTTTCAATGTACTTGCAAATCACATGCAGCACCTTTAGGCAACTCATATATAAAACAATGAGCTGATTTGGATATAAGCAAAATCGTATACTCTTTACATTCCCCTTCGTCGAGATACTTGTTCAGATCAGTCTCGTTCACACCACATGATTCACAAAATTTTGCCATATTCTTCATTATATAATCAGCAGCCTTTTCTCGTCTTTCTGCCTTGGCATATTGAAATTCAGGAAGATTTTTCAGCGTAATTGTTAACTTGTTACTCATTGTTTTTTCACCCAGTCGTGAGCAAATAAGATCCACAACCAAAACCCAAAAATTACCAATGCGCACACCACGATTATACAACAGAGAAAAATATGAATATCTTCATGACCCATTGTGTAATAAATGCGTCTCGCTTAAATATGTGTCCCTATTTTATTAATCCAAAAAAAATTACGTATTTCCGTTTCAAAATAAAGTGTGCTCCTTAGAGAGGACTCTAACCTCCATAGTATAAGTGCGTCTAGCTTAAACGCTACCCCATCCAATAGGAATTGCTATAGGCACAGGTGGGGATCTAACGTTTGAGCATCTTATATGCGTTTCTGTTTCCGCCACATAGAAGCACACATTTATAAAAGAGATCAAATTTCGTATTTATACACCACACACTCTATCTGCACAATTATTATGGTTAACAAAATGATAGTGAATATATACATTTACAACAAAACTGAATCGAATGTAAACATCATAATCACTGGTAATCTCAATCAAGATTTCCGACAATACACACCCATGTTACGCTTAAGGCCTGATTCCACGAGCGCTTTTTCTCGGCGAAATGCGAATTTTTTAGCCTGTTTCTTTTGAAGTGCGACTACTCAAATAAATTATTTCTACTTGATTGCTCACAATTCAAAAGAAACAGGCGAAATATTTTGCATTTCGCCGAGAAAAAGCGCCCGTGGAATCAGGCCTTTACAAGCCAATCCCGAAATACAACATACTATAGTCACTGTACTTGCAGCGCACAAATGTATAAAGATCAATACGGTAAGAAGAAGAGAGTTTTTTTTTATTTTCTAGAAGACATTTTTTTATATTTTTTTCTCTTACAGATTGCAGACGAATCAAAGACGAAAACCCTAGAAAAAATAACCTTTACACAATATCTTTTAAGAAAATTACAAAATGATCCTGAGTAAATATTCAAAGAATGTCAATCCATATAAGGTAATTGAGCAGGTGTCAATATTATAAAACAGACATACACGTAGCACACAACCAACAGTCACAATGCCTATTCCAGACAGGATGTACCCATTGACGATAAAGAATCTACTTTCACAATAATGGTAAAACCGCATTAAATGTAATACTCGTGGGAGATCTCAACGATGATACAACTGCATTTCAACCGTGCATAACAGCAGCCGTAAAGGTCGTAAAGGAACCTACAAAAATAATGATTCTTGAACCTGACGATTGCCTTCTTCTAACTACGGTATAAAAAAAATTTATAATTTTTATCCCACATTTTTTGTACTTATATTTTTTCTTATTAAAATGGACAATGCGGGAAATATCCATATTGCAAAGAAGTTGACGCTGATGCAATTTTATCAATGTCTCAGTGATGATAATCCCGATGAACGATTTATCGTAGTTACATAGATAAAAAAAAACAAGTGCAAACCATCAATAAAATTTTTTTTTTATATATCTGTGCTTCCATTTTAATTAATTATATATAAATCCAACCCTAACTCAGAGCGAGCAACTAACTCAAAGCAACTACACCAGCAAAAATGTCACAAAGAATAGATCCTGAAGGTCATCCTGTTTCAATAAACCAAATAGACGAAGAACTCGAAACTATCTACATACGCATCGACACAAATGACAAGTACTTTATCACTCTAGTTCCATCGGGTTACAATGTGTTAAAATTTCCGCCACAAATGTTAGTGATTACTGTTCCAAATTTAAAAACGCATCGATGTGTGGATATTATTAAAAAAGACGATTGCATTAAAATCAACCAGGTTAGTAATCACAATAATAATTATACCTTGCCCTACGCATCAAATGAACAAATCACGGTGTTATAAGTATGTGTGTACAAAGAGCAATTTTCTGAACCATTTCAATAAACGAACATTCGCCGTCATCATCACGCAACATCTCTTCGATTTTAAATGTGTTTCGCCATCAAACAGTAAACTATAGGAATCAGTTCGAAAAATAAAAAAATACTCATTCCAATAACGAAGTCTATAAGAGAATTTCTGTTGTTTAAACGGACCCATACACACACTCCAAAACTCGTACTCGTGCGTCCTATACAGTCCTACTGGCGGGTCGTAAATAACTGCGACATATCGAATATCCTGATACAAATAATCCCTATAGTGCCAATTAAAATGCTGCGGACGTTCAAAATAGGGTAAACCTATTATGTCGTCAACAAGTTTCATCAAAGTTTCATCAAAGCTTCATCGAACTCTTTATCTTTGTGTCGATAACTCATGGTCGCATACTAAACTAATTCTTTATTATGAATACACTTTTTATAGAAAATTGCAAAATTTACATGTGACAACAAACATTGTCAAAAGGGTGACAAATGAAGAATTTCAAACTGGAGTCGAAAACAATAAAGATCCAAAAACAAAATACTTTACTGTAGAAGATATTTAATAGGCGGTAAAACAATCAATAAAAAAATACACATTCACATATCTATTACTATGTCTATCATGTTTATAATATTGTTCAAAATAATCTTCGTACATAGCATATAATCTAGACAGTACAAGTTCATAAGTATATCTACATACAAATCCTCTGTGTAAAAATGTGTACACTCTTTCATAACATGCAAAGCATCACACATCCACTTTTCATATTTAATTTTTTGCATATATTTCTTATGAAGTTCATGTTGAGTTAAATACATCAACACCTGATCAAATAGTTTGTGTTGCTCTGCATGTGTACGCCCAGTCCAATTCCAGGGAAAATACTCGCTAACATCAAACTCTTTAGACATCAACACAAGGTATTTTCTTCACTACACACTCGTTCGTCTGGGAAAAAGCTTTACGTTTTGGACCAGTGCAAACTCGCTGGACACTTTCTTCGAATATGCAAAACCGTAACCGATCACAGTTAATTTATTTAAAACTTGTGCCGTATACATTAAACACGACAGTTTTTCATTCGTCATTAATACATTCCAAAATGCTAACACGTATTTTCTTTCACATAAAACACCGTTCTCAAAGGGTAGACCTTTTTCTCTCAACGTCGGT